GTTTTGAGTTTATAGGATTATAGGGTTTAGGCTAAACCCTAAACCCTAAAGCCTAAACCCTAAAGCCTAAACCCTAAACCCTAAACCCTAGGCCCCAAACCCTAAACCCTAAACCGAAGCCCGGGACCACATCGAAAAATGGGGCCTTGACGTACTTGTAAGCCGCAGCTCGGTCACCAGCCCAGAGGGCGCAAGCGACGAGGAAGGCAGAGTTGTGACCGGGGCCATAGGGCATCCAGTCGTTCTTGAAGTAGGTCGAGTCGGTACCTTAAGCTTTAGGATCTCTTGGCTTCGGGCTTGTATAAAGTTTCATTTCAGAAGTTTGGGGTCTCACAAATTTGCAGAGTTGGCGCGGGCGCAGGGAGGCCTCAACAAAAAGGGAGAGTGGCCGGACTTCAGCTGTAGGCACAAAGGTGCGAAGAGACTCTGTGACTGGGTTGGTGCAAGTTCATGCCACGCAAGACGAGCAGCCAACAGCCACGATGTTGCTCATCAGGGCCTTGTGGTAGTAGCCCGCGCGGAGGTAGGTGTGGCTGGTCATGTGCTGCAGGTGCTGATCCTGCAACTTTGCAGTGTTTGCCAGCAGGTCGTGGGCTGCCGGGAGAGCAGCATGGACGTCGTTGTTCGACATCTCCGTGCTATGTATCCTGAGCAGTGCAATCTTGCGAGTATGAACTCTGTCGACAACCAAATGCGTTTCGATGAAGCACCACGGAAAACAAAAGCTGCTAGGCTGAAGATCCAGGCACAACATATGCTGCGCATACGCATGTGTCTGATTCGTTGCTATCAGGGCTTCCTGAAGCAGCTTAGTACTTTCCAGAGTCTCTGGCCTGGCTACAGCAGGTGCACTGTCTCCTCTTGACTCATAGAAGTGCCATTCATCCGGAGTGCAGAGCAATATCATCAGAGCTTCTGCCTGGAAGACTTTGAGATCGGCGTCAGGTTGCAAGCTCTCTTCTTGTCTCAGTTTGCCCAGCAAAGAGGCATACTTCCTGTTACTGGCCATCTGCACAGTGATGTTGCCAGACGGTGGGTCCGGGTATCGCGAGACCATTGACTGAATGAGGACTTCCTTCAAGGCACAAAGCAGCTAGAGAAATGTCTCTAGACCCTTAAACCCCTGAACCCAAACCCCTAAACTTAAACCCAAAACCTTAAACCCTCAACCCTGAACAAAGCAACCACAATGGGGGCCATGGTGCAGAACACCATGGTGAGACCCCGCTAACTAAGGAATTAATCTCAAAACTATATCGAAAACTTGATATTATGGTTTAGTGTTTATAAAGGGCTTAATACTCTGCGGTTTAGGGTTAGGGTTTTTTACGCCTTAATTGGAGGGTCTTGGGCTCCCTCTGGGACACTATGGCCAGAACCCCTGCGAATTCCTCCTTGGCCGTGTAGTTGAGTTCATGCGAGTTCAGGAGGCGCAGAGCCTGCCTGACGGGTTTAGGGGTTTATAGGGGTGTTTAGGGGTTTTAGGGGTTAGAAGGGGTTTAGGGCTTTTAGGGGTTTAGGGGGTTTAGGGATCTAAAGTTTGAGGGTTGAGGCCAGGAAGGATCGTAGGAACATGTTTTAGGGCTGGCTCTCGAGCTTTGAGTTCTGGGCCGGGTTTTCGAGAGAATGCCTAAGTCTTGCTCATTTGGGTACAGTAGTTCTCTAAATCAGGGTGCCTTCTGGGGGCCCTTTTTTGTGGTAAGGGTGCCGTACTGTTTTGGGGACCTAGAATTGGATCCTGGTTTAGAGAACTAATGTACCCATATCCTGAACCCTAAGCCTGACTTTGCAGGAGTTTTGCGGGTGCCACGAGGCAGAACGCAAGAAAACCGAACTCACTTTCCAGAGACATAGACTCGGCTTCGCGGCAGTCCGTGTAATCTTCCCACTGAGGAGTTCGATCCTAGCACCGGCACGTGCCCTACAGTGAAAGCTGTCAACCTTCATCTCATTAAGCTAGTCCCTCAGGTGCCAACTGCCACCCCCCCCCCAAAAAAAAAAAGCAGCAAACTCAAACGGCAGAAACTATCTACAGAAATAACATCAACACGCACGCAAACTTTCTTCCTCCTTAACAACACCTGACAGCCTCCCTAGCTTCATCAACTCATCCCTCAACCTATAAATCCTAAACCCCAAACCCTATCCCACAAATCTCCACTCCTAAGCCCGAAACGCCCTGAACCTCTCAACTCACCCCGCCGAAACTCCACACCCGAGGCTCCTAATTACCTCTAGGTCCGGTCCGGCAGAAGCCCTCGACTTCGAGACTTCCCGGGTTCTTCCAGAAGCATTAAAGACTGCGGGTTTACAGGGGTGTATAAAGTTTAGGGGGTCTAGGGAAGTTTAGGGGTCTAGGGTTTAGGGGTCTAGGAGTTAACCAGATCCCTCAGAAACCCTAACTAGTCTCCATTGTGCACTTCGTTTTTGTGAAGGAACTACAATGGAGACATAGCTGAAACCCTAGATCCCCGAGCAACCTGCTTCTCCTCAACCTGTAGATTCTCTGTGGATCCCTCAATGGGTCTTAGGGACCTTACAGTACCCTTATAGAGCCCCTTTAAAGGAACCCTTATAACCCCTTTTCGGGGACCCGTTTCCTCAAAATCCCCAAGTCGTTTCGGGTCTCAGCTTGACTCCACCCTAGACCTCCACATGGACACAGCGTAGTTGCTTCGGCTTTCGGGGCCCCCGGGGCTAGGTATCTCAGGCCCAGGTCCCTCCCGGAAAAAAAAACCTCAAACTCCGCAACCCCTCGACTCAGCTACCCCCTGAGAACTCCTCGGCTCCTACGCGCATCTACAGAATTCCTAACGTGATTTTCAGAACCCCCCAATGAGTATTGGTGACATTATATAAGATCTGCAAAGGAGCCATAAACCCACGTCCCCTTTCCCTTTAAGCAAAAATAGGGACCTTGCGGCGGCCAAGCCAGACCCCATCTCCGCGGCGGACTTCACCGGCGCGTTCAGGGTGGGACCGAAACCTTTGGCTCGAACGTGTTTAGGGTTTAGGCCCTCAAGTTTGCCAGGCCTTTCGGTATCATTAGTTAAGGGATATACCGTAAGTATTCGTAGGGATCCTATTCTAGTTTAATGTATATGCCTTAATGCAGGGATCTTGGAAGTTCTGGGTTCCTTGTTTCAGCACTCCTTTCTTGCGCCTGCTCCGAGTCACCTCACTGCACCACCGGCAGACTCCACCGGCGTGGAAGGAGATGGTTTAGGGTTTACCTTAACCCCAAAGAGCCTACCTTTTTTAAGGACTCATATAAGGAAACCATCATCAGGAGCCTGAAAAAGGTGGGTTCTTTAGGTTCCAGGTAGGGTTTAAGGGTTTCAGCACTCACATCTGGGAAGGGTTTGGGGTTACGGGGGTGGGTGTTCAGGGTTTACGGGTTGAGGGGTTTAGGGGTTCAGGGTCGAGGCCGTAGGGCTTGGTACCAGTAGTTGGGTTTAGGGTTTAGGCTAAAGGCTCGAGGGCTTCTAGGGTTTGCTTGGAAGTTCATGGGTAGTTATAGTTGTAGGTGTAGGGCTATGCGTCCCCTAATTTGGGTTACAACCTTAAACCCTAAGCCCTAAACCCTAAACCCTATATAATCCCATAAACCTCCAAGTGGGGTTTTAGGGCTTGCGGTTTCGGACTTTGGGGTATTCGGGCTTAGAAGTCCTCAGTAGAAGGTGTAGGGTAGAGAAGGTTGTTGTTGGCAGGGCTCTTGGACTTGTAGAGTTTTAGGGCTGATGGAGAGTATGGGTTCCAGTTGGGCGATTATGGCTTCGAGAGCTGGAAGGCTTGTAAAGTTGAGGGCGTGAGGCTTCTAGGGCCTTTTTGGGCCTCTCGCAAGGCTGGGCTCAGAAGGGTTTTGGGCTGTAGGAGCTTCCGAGTCGGACCTATACAAGTATGTAGGCACGTGCTTCTTTTCCAGGCAACCTAAACCCTTAACCCCACACCTTTCTGAACAGGCCCCTTTCTATTTCCGTTCGGAACTACGCGGGTTGAAACCACCAGAGCCAGAAAACGACCCAGTAAAACCCCGCAGTCTGCACTCTCTTCGTAATTTCAGGTTTTGGGCTCGGCTTTAGGTTTGGACCATGGTACTCTGGCAGTCGCAGAACAACCCTGAAACCTACACCATGGTACAGCCAAGTAGGCCAAGTATAAACTACCGGAGGTTGCCTGTGTGGTCTTCTGCATTCAAGAGGCCATGTGCGAGGCCCCATAGACACATGGCACAGAGCTCGTCATGACGAAAGGCCTCCTCACAGGCTAAAGTTTCGTTCGTCGTTCGACATGGGATGCGTGCGTGGACAGAAGCATCATACAGGCAGGGGCAAGGATGCAATGAAGAAGTATTTCTGTCAGCGAGGCGAAGCACACTCGTGCTTCAGTCTCTGAGGTCTAAAAACAACAAGAGCCCCATACCCCCAATGCTTCATCCACGAAGCCCTGACTCCGATGACACGTCTGCAACGTAACGTGCGATTTCGGACTTTTGGTTGTCGGGGGCACGGGAGAAGTTCAAAGACGATGTAAATCGTTTCAACGCAGGCGTAAGGTCATCGCGAGTATATGGGTTTAGGGTTTACGGTTTAGGGTTTGAGCTGTTGTCAAGAACGACTAGTTAAGGCTAAAGCAAGGCCGGCTTGCCTGGAAGACCATCCGCGCGTTCAGCTGATCGAAGTTGTAAATCCTGGGCTAGTTGGCCACAACTGGACGGTGAACTCAGAAGCTGCCTGGGAACAGTTGATATACTGGAGTGACATGTCAAGGGTCGGATTCCACTTGCGCAACCAACTCGTTGTTGTACAACGTTGTCGTTCAGAAGTAAGAAGACGGCAGCACAAGGAAAAGCTGACGGCTTATGTAGAAAGGGGTATGCCACCCTTTCAATCTGTTCGGGCATCCACAGCTTCAAGAGCCCGAGCGGTAGTTTGCTGTTATACTCATCTACTCAGCCCCACGATTGAAACGATGGGCATAGCACACACCCAGCATCCTGCGCAACAGGCGAAAGTCCGTCGAATCCTTAGGCCCTTAGGCTAACCTCGAAACCCCAACACAGTACTTTTAAATTTGAACCTGCATCATCTCATGTCACAACACCAGACAGCCCTAGCCCACCCAACACTAGCTTTGGTTGCCGAACTAGATCAGGACACCTTAGCCGTCGTGCAACATGTGGCAGCACCGGGGCTTCAGGTTTCGGCTCTGAGGCTTCTTGCTGAATACTGTGTTAACGTACAGCTGGCTCCAGGCTGCTTTCGCCTGCGCGATGAAATAACGGCTTTATACTTTATATATGGCCCAACATTGCAGGCTCTGGTGTTCTTCTCACTACGGCTGTGACAGCCCTCGAACGGTTGAAAGCAGCATCACTCCGAAGTCTGCTTCAGGCCAGGGACAACATGATCCCAATGTTGAAGAGCTTCTGTGCAACCTGCGAAAAGGCCAGGGGCCCGGGGCCAGGGCCGGCTCAAAAACTTCCTAAGGCTCGAGCTTCTGTGGCTGTTCCTGAGGTTCATCTAGTTCGGGTGGCGGTGTATCACCCGAAGAAGGAGACCCCCAAAGGGGCAAAACAAGGAGACAACGGACCTCAGCCTGCAGATGAAAATACGTGTGCTTGCATCTGACAGGCTGCAGCCAATGCTGCGACTATGGGTCTTGTCATTGTAGAAGGACGTGTATGCCGATTTCGGTATGATCTCACATAGTCCACATGTGATGATCCGAGAGGTCTGTTCAGCTGACAGACCGTAGCTCCAATGCATCCGCCTCATGAATTCCACAAACAAGACTTCGTGAAATCTGCCAGAGATACATTGCAAACACGGATGACATGATTTCATGTGACCCCACATGCACGTTGCCCCCGATCGGTCGTACCTTAGGCAACTGTTAGGTGTAGCAATACCGCCAAAGGGGCCAAGTGTCACTATAGCAGGCTCTTAGTAGGCAATATTACCCTAAACACTAAACCGTCTACGGTCAGTCACCCTTTTTTCGTTCCTAGAGACTGGTGTTCTAGTGCCCGTGCAGGCCGGCAGTTGCGGCAACAACTTCTAGACATCTTCGGTTACCCGAAGGGTCCAAGTAACAGTACAGTATATCTACTCCTTAAGTGAACAGCTTCTTCTATGGGAGCGGGCTCATTGGGTCCCTATGACTACAAACTGGTGACAGGGGTTCCGGCGCAACAGACGTCCGTCCGATGAAGAACCTATGCTAGCACTGCAAAACGCTACAAGGAATACCACGGGTTTAGGGTTTACCTGGACCCCAAGCAACCTACCTTTCTTAGGGACTTATATGGGCAATCATAATAAGGAACCCTGAAGAGGTCGGTTCCTTAGGGTCCAGGTAGGGCCTCAAGACAAAGATAGGAGACCTGGACAGAAACAAAACTCTCAAAGCCGCGTTGGGGTTGCATACAATATGGGACTCTCGTCAGTTAGAGGCCGTAACTGGCAAGATCCGTGCTATAAAGACCGCGAAACCGAACACAAACACCCACAACCCTTTAATTTAAACATCCTAGAACCGAAACAACTAGCCCTCAAAATTCAACATCACCTGATGTGCCTTGTTTCGCGTGGTGATTTCGAAATGAGAACTTCCGAGCCTGTGCTTCAGCTTTCCATAGCGGCAGGGCTTAGGATGATACTAAGAACCTGAGATTACAGTTGCTGTAGGGGTGCCTTTCGGGGAGTTACAAGGGTCCTGTGAGGTTTAGGATGCATCAGGAGCTTTGCACGGCTTTGCGGATAGTGGGCTGTTTGAGAGGAGTCCGGGAGCAGGGCGATCTGCGAAGGTGCAGGCTGCAACGGTTTGAAGGGGTTAAACTGGAATAATTGAGGCGCTCTGTGACTGCTAGTCGGAGCCCGTAAGGGAGGCCGCATCAACGCCGCGGCATCAAAAGGCTAGACAACGGTGGACTCCGTGATAAGCAGAGTGTTTCAAAAGCTCAAGTATATTGCCTTACAAAGCGGGGGACAAAGCACCGTTCAATGTAGCCACAATAGCTTGACAGCAATCGGGGCTCGTGACGTTCACCACCTGTGCCACAGAAGCCGTGAACCCTGACCTACATTAAAGGAAACTACAGGTGGGGCGTTTAGGGTATATAGGGCTTCTCTACGGCTTCTATAAGGTACATAGGCCTTCTGTAAGGCTCCTATAACGGTAACTACCCACCTGAAACAGTCCTAGACTACACAGGACTAGAAACCCCAAAACTGCTGTTTGACCCAGACCATGTGCCTGGGATGCCACTGCAGCCATGTGGTCAAGTTAAAGTCGCTCCCTGACGGTGACGAAGTGCCTGGAACTGCGTGTGTAGGAACGGAACTGGAGCCGGAGGGTCTCTGTGCGGACATGCCAGAAGGACTAGATTGACTAGATATGCACATGCAGTGACACGATACCACCATTAGCTGGCACCATCATCGCCACTTCATTGCAGCTGTTTTTTAAGCTTCAGTTGAACTCATTCTGCCGGCAGCACTCTGACTGCAAGCAAGTAGGCCAGCAGCATCGCAGACATCTGGCAGGCTGGAAATCATACGCTGTCCGTGACTTCACGACCGACAGACTTTCTATATATATATATGTATGTATATATAGCTGTTCGTCATACAGGTTACTTCATGCGTCATAACCTTATGCACCCTACCTGGCCCAAAAACCTACCTTTGTAGGATGCCGTAATATGGTTTCTTTATGGAGCTTCTTATACTCATGTGTTGGGCCTGCAGGTAACCCTAAGCCAGCCTGAAGCTGCAGTGCTCAGGCCCATCATTGGTGCACTCGCATCCTCTGCCTGTCGGAGTCAGAATGCAAGTTCGAAGCTGCTTTCTTTACAGGCCTGGCAAAATATGTGACGCCTAAACAACTTTTTAATGTTAATTCTTGTAGCCCCCATGTAGTTATACTAGAATATACCCCAAAGCCCTATTGAAAAAACTCAAACTATATCAGAATTGGCATACACCGCAACGCAGGCGCAGTCTTCGGATAAGTTGCCGCCGCCCAACTGATGGACAGCAGCAGCCATCGGCAAAAGCCTCCGGCTGGTAATGGCTTTGGCGGCGAGATCCAGACCGGGTTGTTCGGAAGACACAACGTCGGGTTTCGGAATGGGGTAGAGCCTTCAATATGTACATCATCCAATGCATATGCACATGCACGACCTGCAGACCAAATATGCTCACAACAAATGCACCCTATATGGCACGGGCGATAACTCCCAAGCCCAGTGCCGCACACATGCTTCATCGCGCCCCAGCCTGTGCTACAAGACTATATCCAAGTGTGCATGTGACTGGGCTCCTCGGCGATGCTAGACACATGAACTTCCATATTTATGGCAACCAAGGCATACAGAAAACACCCCTTTAAATGGAGTGCCTTGCCCCCGGGTCACCACGCTTCCACAAGGAAGCAAGCCGTGCAACATGCGCAACTCACTGCAACTGCAACGCCTGGATTCATGTTTCGGCTGCGGCTCTGCGAGCTGTGCTTTTGAGCCAAAGGCTAACAACGAGCAGGATGTTTGGAGCTTCCCGGCTAGCTCGACGAGCCCGTACGGTAGTTAGGAGTGAAGATAAGGTTTTGGGGTCTCGACTCATGCTCGCACCAGGCAGATCAAGGCTTTCGAGGCTTTCGCGGACTCCCCAGGGCTTGCGGTTTTGGGGTTTAGGGTTTGTGTGGTTTACGGGCTCCGGTATAGGGTGACGGACCCGGATTTAAGCAAGCTGAACGCACGTCTTGTAATTGTAAGAGAGGCCCCAGACCCGTTGCTTCGTCTGTCCGCATCCATGGACAGCTTCTGCGATTGCTGCACTGAACAAGTCGTTGCTTTGCTTCACTTAACTAAACCCTGACTGAGCCATTTGCAGATGAGCCGTCAACCCGGAAAGTCCCTCAACGGCGCTGCTGACATCGAGGACCCAGCCTAATTACACCCCAAAACTATGGGGCCTGCAGCTGAAGAGCAAGTCCTAAGTCGGTAAACCACCATGTACGCCCCCTTGTGAATAGCCCCCTTCCGCAACGGCCTTGATCTTAGAAGTCCCGTTCATAATCCGGTGCTAACTATGGGATTCAAGGGGCTAAAACAGTAATGTACTAGGAAACCCTGAGGAGCGCTAATCCCGATTCTTCAGGCCAATGGGTACAAAGCCCGGCCACTGCTTTCCGCAACCAGGCGTGCTGCATCGACATCGTCGAAGATGGGAAGGTTGCGGTGGCCCTGGCGTGGGGAGGCTGCTATCCCACAGCCCTAAAAATGTTATTTATCGCTGTGGACTGTAGGACTTCAAGGCTTTAATCTTTAGTGCTTGAAGGTTGCAGAGCTTCAAGGTTTCTGTGTCAACGACCGCTTTCATGTGGGGTTTGATACCCATATAGGCTCCCTTGTGGCCATTGTGGTTCCTTTTTGGGACTACCTTACAGGATCAAAACAATATAAATCAGAAAAAGGAGCCTATAGGTAAGGCCTTACAAAATTCCGGGGGTGCAGGGCCCAAGTTTGATGCTTCAGGGTTGCCGTGTCCGTACATTTCTCAACTCTAAGTTAACGTAGGGGCCTTCATGGTTAGAATAGGGTTTTGGGGCTCCTTTTTATGATGTTTTTACAATAAGGAACCCTAACAGTAATATTG